ACAGTAGGTGCAGTAGTTACTTAGGAAGCCTGCCTCTTGTGAACTCCAGCTGCTCCATGTCCAAACCAGAGAGTCAGTGCAGAATAGCCCATGACTTGATCACCACCCACATGGGAGACCCAGATGGAGCTCCTGGCTCCTGGCTGTTACAAGGGCAGAGTAAAGTGAAACAGCAGAAGGAAGGTAGTAATTAATTATTTTTCTCTTTCTCCCATCCCTTCCTTTCACTGTTCCTCTCCTCTCTCCTCTTTCTTTCCCATCCTCCCTTTCTCCATCTTTTCCTGTCATATTTTTAAAAATAAATATTTAAAAACAAAACAAACAGGTTCTAATAGAATAAAAATAGGAAAATTTTGACAAAAGATGCATGATATATATGCTGAAACTAGAAAATTGGCTTAGAAAATAGAAGACAAATAGAGAAAATTGCCATGTTATGTCTCAGAACTCTCAAAGCTGTTAAGATGCCAGTTATTTCCAAACCAATCAAAACAGTCCATGGAATCCCAATCAAAGTTCTATTAGGCTACCTATATTTCTTTTGGAGTTTTGAGGGTAGTTCTACAATTCATATGCAAACACAAAGGATTTAACATAATACAAAATTATGAAAGAATGAATTGGAAGACTTAGACCCTCTCAATTCAATATTTGTTAAAAATTTGACAATGTGATGTTGGGATAAAAAATCAATGAAAGAAAACTGACAGCTCACAAATAAACCCACTCATATGTTGTCAGTTGGTTTTTCATAAGAGTGCAAAGGCTGGTCAGAAGAAAAGGTTGTCTTCAATATATGGCTAAAAATTCAGTATGAAGCATTACATTGCACTGTACTCAAACCTTAACAAATATCACATTATAACACCTAAGTCTTTTACGTTAGAAGAAAACATCAGAAAATCTTGTGACCTTAAGTTACACAAAGTTCGTAAAAAGCTTAATAAAGGTATGATGTGTAAAAGAAAATTTAATTGGCTATCACCAAAATTTTTTATCTTCACTAAATAAGGCATAGCAATATACCTCAAAAGTGAATCTTTGATCATTAAGAGGTCAGAGAGATATACATTTCAAATTGTGACCACATAAAGCATCATTAGCTATGAAAATCTAAAAGGAAGCAAGAAATAGCATTGGTGGTGATAATGTGGGGTCTTGAGTGAGTCTGACGATGAACACATTTCAGAGTCATTCTCTTTGTTTTGTCCTTCAGATATTTGGCTCGTGGATCTGATTCCTGAACACTGTGTTCCAAGCTACTCATTTATAATTCTACAAACTGATAAAATAAAGCCATAGCCATATTTTATTTTCATGATAATTGTAACATTCAGGGAGCATGTTTGATCTTTCATTCAAAAGAGTGAAATCCCACCCATGTATTTTAATTTGCCTGACATCTAAGGAATACTGAAATCAATCAATATCCAAAGTTTGCGATATAGGCTCTTCCAGTTTGACAAGTAAAGTGATTTGCAAGGATTGCAGAGCAAGTATGTGTGTACTCTTGTTGCTGTGTATATGTGCATGTTTGTCCATAGTGAGATAGGCAGGCGACAAACAAGACAGACCAGACCTAGTTCTACAAGTTTATTACTTATTGAGTCGTATTTCCTTTTTAGCGATTTACTCTGGGTTTCCCTGCAAAAAAACAAGTGTACTTTCTTTTAAGATTTATTTATTTATTGGAAAGTCAGATATACAGAGAGGAGGAGAGACAGAGAGGAAGATCTTCTGTCCAATGATTCACTCCCCATGTAAGCGCAACGGCCAGTGCTGTGCTGGTCTGAAGCCAGGATCCAGGAACTTGTTTTGGGTCTCCTACATGGGTGCAGGGTCCCAAGGCTTTGGGCTGTCCTTGACTGCTTTCCCAGGCCACGAGCAGAGAGCTGGATGAGAAATGGAGCTGCCAGGATTAGAACCGGCGCCCATATGGGATCCTGGTGAGTTCAAGGCGAGGACTTTAGCCGTGAGGCCACGCCGCAGTCCCCCCCCTCCCCCCCGCAAAAAAAACAAGCATACTTTTATGAGAAAGTGTTATATGACTTGAAAAAGATTTGTCTCCTCCAATTGGAATGTGTTGAAACTAACTCTGTGAACAGGTCATGGATTGACAATGATGACTGAGCTGGTATAGCTAGGTAACTTTGGGAAATGATTAGACTGATTTGCTCTGGTGGAGTCCCATGGTCCTTTCTTGTTGGGCATCACACAGACACAGCTGATGCACTCCACACACGCATGTCTCTCTTGGCTTCCTGGCTTACCATGTACTCCGCTTGCCCTCCTTTCACCTCACCAGATGCTTGCACAGTCGAAGCTGCGCAATGCCAGACTGAGAACATCCAAATTGTGAGAAGGAAACCTTCCTTTTTTCATAAGAAGTTCCTAGTGTTTAATTAAAGCAACAAAAACCAATGTGTCATGGGCAAATTGGAAAGAATAAGCAGAAATACCACACAACAAGAGAAAAAGGAAACTTAAAGTGACAATCTCAAGCTTCTTTCAAATTCTGCCTATTTTGGAATGTCATTATTTACAGAGCTTTTGATTTATGTGTCTGAAAGTCGGTTACAGAGAGAATTATAGGCATAGATCTTCCATGTGCTGGTTGACCTGCTGATTGAGTCCATAGAGGACCACAGCAGCTGAGACTATCTGACAGAAGCCAGGAGTTTTATCTGGATCTCTCATGTAATTCAGATTTAATAAGCACTCAGCGTCTATTCTGTGTGAATTTTTAAAAGGTTTATTTTATTTTTATTGGAAAATCAGGTATACAGAGAGGAGGAGAGACAGGAAGATCTTCTGTCCATTGATTCTCCCCAAGTGGCCACAATGCTGGAGCTATACCGATCTAAAGCATGAGCCAGGAGCTTCATCTGGGTCTCCCACGCAGGTGCAGCATCCCAAAGCTTTGGGCCATCCTTGATTGCTTTTCCACACCACAAGCAATGAGGCCTCTGGGATTAGAACCAGCACCCATTTTGGATCCCAGTATGTGCAAGGTGAGGACTTTAGCCACTAGGCTACTATGCCGGGTCCTCCTCTGTGTGTATTTTACCAAATGCTTTGCACGCTTTTAATGAGGATCACAGCACTGGGAGATAGATAGGTAAACTAGGTCTGGCTGGATTGAATGGGTTCTACATCTATAACTGGAAAGATCTATTTTCTTGGCAGGGTTGGGAGTCTTGGCATCAGAGGAAAGAGACTGCCTCATTTGTTGGTGTTGGCCACAGTCTCCTGCATAGGGTCCAGTTGATGCTTCATTCAGTGCCGTTGGATGCGTTTTTGTAACCTGTGTCTCCCACCCCAACTTGTTCCATCCTGACCTTTTCATTCCAGAGACAGCTTGATTCTCTGTCATGTGTCTGTCTCTTGAAATACAGGGTACAGATTCCTCTGGGTTGCTGCAGCTTTGTGAGTGTTCTGAGTACTGAATGAAATTGGGCATGGTTGCTGTGGTAGGTCTGTTTCCTGTACTCAGATGCGTTCACATCTGCCCAGGCTGTCAGCCCTAACATCGTATCGGCATTCAGTATGACACTGTTTTCTGACTCAACCCCAGTAACAAGGCTATTATTCAGTCAGTCAAGGAACACTTATTCCTGTGTTCACAGTAGCAAGTCAGATCTTCTTGGTCCCTCTTTCTCTGATCTCATATGGACATACCTGTTGGCCTGCCGGAATGATCTAAGATTCTGCAGTAGCTCCATTTGTTCTACTCATTTCTATTGAGAGCAGCTGAGATCATGTTTTGACCCATTGAATATTCTCTGGCAGGATTTTTTGATAAACAACTTTGGGACTAAACCCTGCACAACAACTATATGATGTCACCTTCAATATTTTAGTTATTATAGGTAACTTTGAATATTATAACCTTTTTCCAAGTCAACGGCCTCTGACCTTTGCTATACTTGGTAGTTTGTCTGTGCAGGGAATATAGAGCATTGTATTTTAAGTGTGTATATGTGTGTGTGTGTGTGTGTGCATGTGCACACATAGTACAGATGAAGGTTCAACAGGAATACATAGATTACAGAATTCAGGGCACAATTCAAGAACTGTGTATCGACTGTTTCCAGTAACACCTGCTGGCGTGAGGATTTATATGAATTCCTCATATTCTGTGTGAGTGCACACCGAGATTGCTTTTAGAGCGTATGTAACCCGAGTCCCAAGGGTTCTTCCCACCACCTTCGCCATTGCTTATGACCTTGTCTGTGCTGTAAGTTTCTGTAGCCAGGTGATTTGGGTGAGAGCTATGAAGACATGTGGCAATACTGTGTTTTCTCTTTAGCTTTTCTGACAGACATCTAATTTCCTGGTTGCCACTTGTTTCTACTGTGAAATAAGAAAAGTGTGACAGAACACACCATGCCTTTCTGTGCCCCTACGTTTAAGTGGTTTTTTCACGAACATCTCTGAAAGTGGCATAGAATTTATTTAGAATCCTCTTTAGAGTTCTTGAGGAAGACAACCCGCTTACCAAGTGTCCGTCTAGATTCTGTGATTATTGTAAAATGTGAATTTTGATTTTCAAAAAAAATTGGTGTGAAAGAAGCTTATGTATTTGAAGGTGCATGATTTCATATTATAATAGCCAAAAGAACTTGGCCAGGTAGTTTTTTTTTTAATAGGGAATTAGTTCAATTTCAGGCCACATGGAAATGTGGATTCGATATTTTGCACCATTTGTCCATTTTCACTTTATTTTTCCTCATATTTTCTTCTCTTTCTATGTATGTGTGTGTGCCTCCTAAATTCAAGTGAAGTATTTGTGAATGTGATTATGCTGACCAATAGTAAAAGAGCTTTTTAATATGGTCCTGCAGAAACTTATTTCCTTAAGCAAAGGGTTGCAAGTTAATTTCATCTTACGATTTTTTTTTCAATTGTCATGATCATGCAGCCCTCTGGAGTTTGGGGTTATGTACTTAGTGTCTTTCCATTTTGCTACAGCAGTCATGCAGTCTGTGATTCCTTTTCAGGGGTCATCACTGCTGCAGACATTCTTGATCGAGAGACAACGGGGTCGTACTGGCTGACAGTGTATGCCACAGACCGAGGCGTGGTTCCACTCTATTCTACCATTGAGGTCTACATCGAAGTGGAAGACATGAATGACAACGCCCCGCTGACCTCAGAACCTATTTATTATCCTGTTGTCATGGAAAATTCTCCCAAGGATGTATCTGTCATTCAGATCCAGGCTGAAGATCCAGACTCCAGTTCCAATGAAAAACTGACATACCGGATTACAAGTGGGAACCCTCAGAATTTTTTTGCCATCAATATCAAAACAGGTAAGAGTATGACTTTTGTAATTGGTAGACCAGCTTTTAAATTCGTCAGGCTGATGTTTGTTACACATATTTGTTTAGAGAATAATCTCTTCCTGTCTAAGGATATTTTCTGAAAAGGTGAGCATTTGATTTGATTGGTATGTCATAATTTTACCTGAAACTGAAGTGATCAGACAGACATCTGAAACAATACAACAGCCATATATTTACTTTGCTTGTGATTAGAAAAAAAATAGTTTTAGAGCCTCTGTAAGATCCAAGTGCCTATCCTTTTTTGGGGAGAGAGCAACCTGACCCATGCTGTGTTCTTTAGGTAAGCTGATTTTGTGATACCAACACCTCTGCCTCCGGGGACTTCTCCCTGGATGGTGGACCTTACTCCATCTTGTCAATGTCTCCTTAAAACCTTTAAGAATTCTTACGGTTCCTGTTGGTACTTAAAAAAAAAAGTAAATAAGCAACCAAAAAAAGCAAATTTCCAGTATCTCAGTATTTACATAAAATATGTAGACCTTCCTTGTTTTCTGGCTTGTTGCTCTAAGAGGTTTTAGAATTTGTAATGGAAGTTGATTTGGAAGGGTTAGAAATACCTAAGGGTCGGTGACAGGTGTATGGTTTTCTGGTTATAGTCCTCTGAGGCAAGTACGCACTTGAGAAAGATGCCTTGTAAGTCAGAGTTAAAGGTTCTGTGTTTACTTGTGATTTGGGTGTAGAAGAGCAAAATAAGGAAATAAAGCACTCCGAGTTGACATGGGTGAGACCTCAAAGCACTGAACGTTAGAATCACGTAAATTACTTTTACCTTGAAACAGTGAGTTGGTACTGGTCAATAAGTCTAGACTTTATTTTATTTTTGATATGGTCAGATGGACCTTTCCTGAAGAATCGTTGATATAGTTGATAGTTATTTCTCCTATTTGTTTGTTAAAATAGACACATAATCTGACTCCAAGCATTTCATATATTCAGGTACCCACGAACATAATTTAAGGAGAACGGCAGAACTTAAAAGGTGGTGGTGGTGATTGCTATTTGTGTGTGTGTATGTGTGTGTGTGTGTATGTGTTTGGAAACTGTTGGTTTTCTCCAAAGATGAGTGATTCACTTCTTTTTTTTAAGCAGACTTCTGTGTTCTAACATTCCTGCATCAAAATTTAGCTTGTGCTTTATGGAAGCACAAAGGGAGGTCTGGTGCAGGCGCGCACATTATAATGAGAGGATTCTGAGATGCGGAACCCTGTTCCACTTCTCTGGGTACCAGTAAGTGGGAAAAATAACACGCATAGAATGAACTACCCTACCTTGTGCTAGGAAGCCCCTCTTCAATTTCTTTTAGCACACGGCTTCCAGAAATGTGACAACAGGGAAAAGTATTTGAATACTGTACACATGCAAGGTTCCCAGTGGTATGGGAAGAGAGAAGATAGGACAAAGTCAGAAAATGTCACATTAAAATCAAGAACAGAACTGCTACAAGAAGGCAGTTCCAATTGTTGCCTTCATCTAACTTGCACTGAAAATGCAGCTAGAGTAATAGTCACAGGAACGAATTTGAGTTGCATGTAAAATTTGCACATTATATGCATAGAATATATACACTTACATAACCAGAGCTACCTTTTATGCAACTCTTAAAAGTTCCACATGAATTTTAAAGGAGTCCTGTATTATCGCAAATTACCATATGTTGCATAACAACCTTAATCATATTCTTAGTTTCTATTTGCCATAGTTTTAAAAAAAATCTGTGCCAAGAATGACATCTTTGGTTGTCTAATTGTCTGTAAGAACTCTGCATATATGGGGCCAGTGTTGTGAAGCAGTGGGACAAACTGCTGCTTCTAATCAGCAGGGACCAGTCCTGTGGAGAGCATGTTAAACTGCTGCCTACAGCACCAATATCCAATGTGGGTCTCAGTTCAAGTCCTGGCTAGTCCATTTTCAATCCTGCTCTCTACTAATGGCATATGTAAGCAGTGCAGGATGGCCATAGTGTTTAGGCCCCAGCTGGTCACTGTGCCTGCTTGGGTAGTTAACTAGCATTTGCAAGACCTTTTCTTTCCTTCTCTTGTCTCCCAAATTCTAACTGTACGATAGATAGATAGATAGATAGATAGATAGATAGATAGATAGATAGATAGATAAGAAAGATCTATAATACAAAAAAGATTAATTGCCAAAAGTATCTTTTTCTCTAAATTTTTTTTTATTGGAAAGTTAGATTTACAAAGAGAAGGGGAGGCAGAATCCTCAGTCCACTGATTCACTCCCCAAGTGGTCGCAGCAGCCAGAGCTGATCCATTTCAAAGCCAGGTGCCTCCCCGCAGTTCTCACATGCAGATGCAGCATCCCAAGGCTTTGGGTCATCCTCTGCTGATTTCCCAAGGCACAAGAAGGGAGCTGGATTGGAATGATAAAACCCGATACCCCTATGAGATCCTGACACTTACCTGGCAAGGATTTAGCCACTAGGCTATCATGCCAGGCCCCAACAAATTATCTTCAAAGATCCAATCAATACAACTGTAGTCTTAAAATGTGGTCTGAGCCTTTGAAGAATTCAGAGTGCTATGAAATAAAATGAATCATGAAAAAATCCATAGTCTGCTAAAAAAAAATGAAATGATTGTGTTGCTGATGGATTGGTAAAAGTAATTTTAGGAGAATAGTTTTTGAAAGAAATAAAAATTGGGGTTAGAGATTCTGGATTTCAAATCTTTGCATGCCCTAACTGAGACACAACATGGGCCACAGCAGAGAAAACAGACTAAAATGGAACCCTGCTGGCCCCATGAGCCCTGTAAAATTGAGCAAGTCACTAAATGCTTCTGAAATCCACTTTTCGGTTAGCAAGCATTGCTGCAAGGAGTACAGGAGTCCGGTGTAAAAAGTGCATCACGTGCTGCACGGAATGAACTCCTGCAACAAACGCTGATGTTCCATCCCCATTGTCTTACCCAGTGTGACGTGTCATTTACTCTCCATGGCCCTCAGCTTTTAATCTGGAACAGGAGAATGAACTTGCTTATCCACCAAGGTTATTGTAAAGACTGAATATCATGATGCATTTGAAGTCTGTTGGTAAACAAGGAAGATTGTGGTATGAATCGTGTTATCCCTATGTACACCCTCAGAGAATTGAAGAGCCAAAGCCTGGTAGTGTTCTCACTAAGCATATTGCTCTGAGTATCACACGGTCTGTACAGGAGCCTTGAGCCAGCTCGGCAAACTCTATCATAGAAACTGTTCTCTTTGGCATTTCTTCCTGTCTCTCTCATGTCATTTGACTGAAACAGCCCTACCAGTATTGCATCTGTTAATACTAAAGCAGGATGCGCAGTGAACTGGCATATCTGGGAAATATTTTGGCTTTAGAAATATTCCACTAGCTGTTGAATCTAATATAACTGATCTGTTAAGCCTTCCTCTGCAGTAGAGCTGAAATTTATCGGTTTGTTTTGTTTTTGCAATATGCTACATAATAAAGATTAACATGATTAGTATAAGCTCAAATGATGAATGCAAACCCAAATAATGTCAATAATTATGTTCTGCGTCTTCTAGAAAAAAAAACAGATGTCATGTTTCCAAACCAAACATGGAGAAAGACTTCTCTATGAATATTCTGTGTCCTACCCAAAAAATCATTGGGGTTGTTTCCATTAGAATTCCTCAGGTTCAGTAGTCCATGGATTTGCTGCAGAAGTTCCTGAGGCTTCAAAAGAAAAACAAAAACTGTAATGCTAGGAGGTCTTAATCAAGTTAACCTTTGATTAATTCCAGGCTGAGCAATTGAATTCGATCAAATGCAGCTTTAGGTAGAAGAGCGGCCTACCCACATGTTCAGGAGGAAATGCCAAAAAGGCTAATGTTCACTTGCCTCTTTAGGGAGGTCTGGGAGTGGAAACTTTGCTTCCTTCCAGACCTTGCCAGGGGATCCAAGCTGACCACTCATTTGTCATCCAGGTTGAAATTAGGACCAGGAGTGAGTATTGCTTCAGAGCTTCAGAATGCATACTTTCATGGTTTTCATAGTATGGAAACCACTTAACCTTGGTTCGACTTGGCAGCATTTAGTGAAACCTTCCATAAATATCAGCTACCATAATTATCATCCAGAAGTTCCCAGGAGAAACAAAGTTTGTGTAAACTGCATGCAGACTACCTCCAGACTTTGTTCTCTTTGGAGAAAGGTATACTTGAAAAATAGTGATGCCTTGCCTTACTGTTTGAGACGTAGCCCTGGAATCTTTAATTCAGTTTGCTAAGATATGTTGCATGTTGTTGTTGATATGGACTTCAGGGGTTGGTCATACAACGGAAGTATGCATCAGTGTACAGACGTAATTCAGTTTCATGGGAAGGATAGAACCATCCGCACCTATGAAAGAGTGGTAACTTCAGTGTTCATGAAAAATGCACAGTTGAATTCTGTGGAGTAATAGCTATAGAAAGGTAATTGTCAGAACACAGCAAGTGATGAATCTAGGAGTTTCATAGAAAAGAAATGTGCCCTGGTGGGGTCAATGCCATAGCATGTCAGGCTTGACTTCCACCTGCAGCACCAGCATCCCATATGGGCACCAGTTTGAGTACCAGCTGTTCCACTTCTGATCCAGCTCCAAGCTTCTGGCCTGGAGTAGCAGATATGGATGCCTCACGTGTTTGGACCTCTGCACTCATGTGGGAGACCTGGACGTAATTCCTGGTTTCAGATCAGCTTAGCTTTAGCAGTTGTGGCCATTTGGGAAGTGCACAACAAATGAAAGGCCTTTCTCCACCTCTCCTTCTGTCTGTGTAACTCGGCCTTTCAAATAAACATAAAATAAATCTTTAATAAAAAATGCCCTGAGGAGTGAGTTGATTGGGAGAGAACAAAGCCATTTCATAGCCTGGAGAATGTAAGCTAGTTAAGTTGACCCTGAGAACCCATCATAGCTACTTAAGCTCCTTATATAGACATGATATCACTACAAAGAAACGTTTTATGGAGTTGCTTG